GTGAGGGTGTAAACTTTCCAGCCGCCCTGGGACACGGCGCCCCCGACAGCGAAACAGTTGACTTTATACCGTTCTTCGCCCATTAGCTTTTGGAGTTCCGCGCGGATGTCCTGAAGCTGCGCTGGGCCCGCGGGCGGCGCCTGCACCGCCTCCCCCCTGGCGACCTCCGCGCGCCGGAGGTGGGGGGGGCCCAGCGCAGATCCAGGAGATCCGCGCGGAGCTCCCAGAGTGATGCTTATGCAGGTTTTGTTCTCCCTCGAAGCGGCATCTTGGCATCGCTGGGGCTTGTGCATGTGTCTCGGTGGGGGCCACCTGTGGACCATCTTGGACCATCCGTCGAGCACAGAGCCCAAAAACAATGCACGGGCCCTGGACGTCCGAGCGGTGGTTACTGGTGCTTCCTTCACCTTCGGCCCATCCCTGGCCGCTTTCGCTGGCCGCGCCCCGCTCGAAAAGCGTCGACATGGCTTTCCAGAGCCCTTGCATCCTTGCCGCGCATCCGTATCATACGGCAGATTGCGGCGGGTGGCGGCGGGTATGCCGGCGGGCGATTGGCGGCAGTTTCCGCAGCGGCTGTCGTCGGTCGCATCGTCGGGCGTGGCCGCCGTTGTCGGACGTTGTCGCCGTCACCGTCGCCGTCGTCGTCGGAAGTCGTTGTCGGACGGCGGGCGTCGGCGTCCGTCGTGGCCGCCGCCGTCATTGCCGTCGTTGCCGTTGTCGCAGTCGTCGTCGCCGTCGCCGTCGGAAAGTGGTCGCCGTCGTCGTCGTTGCCGTCAGACGTAGGATATCGTCGTCGCAGGACGTTGTCAGGCGTCGAACGTCGTCGTCCGTTGTGGCCGTCGTCGGGAGTCATAGGTTTCGTCGTCGGACGTCATTGACGTAGTCGTCGCTGGACATCGTCAACGCCGTCGTTCCCCCCGCTCGAGGAACGAGGGGGAGGAGGAGGAGGAGGAGGAGGAGGAGGAGGAGGAGGAGGAGGATAAAATTGACGAGGAAAAAGGCTTTGGTTATAATGAGGGATGGGGGATGAGTTCATGGGAGGACAGAGCAGGAGAGGGGGGGGGCAGGATGGAGGAGGGAGGAGGAGCAAGGGGCGGGCAGAGCGAGCTCGACTGGTTGGAGAGGTGGGTTGAGGGTCGAGGGAGGCCATTTGTGTGTGTGTGTGTGTGTGTCCGAAGGGGGGAAAGGAGGGAGGTGTATAAAAGGAGCAGGATGATGATGATGATGATGATGATGATGATGATGATGATGATGATGATGATGATGATGATGATGATGATGCTGATGCTGATGCTGATGCTGATGATGATGCTGATGATGCTGATGCTGATGCTGATGCTGATGCTGATGCTGATGATGATGATGATGATGCTGATGACGCTGATGATGCTGCTGATCATATGATGGTGATGATGATCATGATGATGGTGCTGATGGTGGTGGTGGTGATGATGATGCTGATGATGATGCTGCTGATGATGATGCTGATGATGATGCTGCTGCTGCTGCCGATGATGATGATGCTGCTGAAGATGATGATGAGGAGGAGATGGAGGGGAGGTGTATAAACGGGGCAGGATGAGGGGGATGATGATGATGATGATGATGATGATGATGATGATGATGATGATGCTGGTTTTGCTGATGATGATGATGATGCTGCTGATGCTGATGCTGATGCTGCTGCTGCTGCTGATGATGATGATGATGCTGCTGCTGCTGATGATGATGATGATGCTGATGCTGATGCTGATGCTGACGCTCATGCTGCTATGATGGTGATGATGATGATGATGATGATGATGATGCTGATGATGATGATGATGATGATGATGATGATGATGAAGATGGTGATGATGATGATGATGATGATGATGATGATGATGATGATGATGATGATGATGATGATGATGATGATGATGATGATGATGATGGTGATGATGATGATTATGATGATGATGATGATGATGATGATGATGCTGATGCTGATGCTGATGCTGATGCTGATGATGATGATGATGATGATGATGCTGATGATGATGATGATGATGAGGAGGAGGAGGAGGAGGAGGAGGAGGAGAAGGAGGAGCAGCAGCAGGGACGAGGAGGAAGGGAGAGAGGAGTGGGGTCGGTGGCGCGCCCAGGGTGGACTTGAGAGGAGGCAGGCCGCTTCAGAAGCTGGCGGGGCCTCGCAGAGACCCCCCTGGCCCCTGAGAAGCCTTCTGCGGCTTCGGGTAAGGCTCCAAACGCTTGTCAGAAGGCTGGGGGCGTCCTCAGCCCCTGACGCGGCCCGCGCCTCTGCCTTCCCCCCGGGGCGCGTGCCGCTGACAGGGGGCAGGAGAGAGGCAAAGGGAGGCGGACGAGGGGGAACGGGGGGAACATGGAGGAGACGCAACAACTGAAGAGCATGGCGCAGGAGGATGATGAGGAGGAGCAGGAGCAGGAATCCTTGTGTCGTCCCGTCGGTCCCTCGAGGTGCCCGCTGGCGCTTATCTCCTCTTTAACGAGCTCCGAGCCAAGCGTCTCCGTCTCACACGCCCGCTCAGCTTGAACGAGGCCCTCGCCGTCGTTCCCGCTGCCCGCCATCAGCTGCGGCGATAGCGGCCCCGCGGTGACCAAGACTCAGGCGCCGACCCACGCGGCAGGAGGAGCAGGAGCAGGAGCAGGATGGTTCCTCAGTCCACTCCCGGTCACATAATCGGCGTACATGCGTACATGCCTTGATGGCCAGTCCAGGAGGGCGTGTACATCGATCCTGGGCAAGAGGTGGGCGTGGTCAGGATCGATGTACGTGCACTGCCACCACCATCGCTTTTTCAGCATGGGGATCCTCTGGGGACCATGGTGCAATTTTAAATAAGAAAATCAGCGTTGCGCCAGGGCGTGGGAGACGATCGGGGACCGAAAAAGGGGGGGGCAGGGGAAGCTGGGAGGGGGGGGGCTTGGAGGGGGGTTGACATGCAGGGTGACCAGGAGAGAGGGGGGGGTAAGGGGGGAGGGGCAGGCAGAAAGGGGAGGAGTGCCGAAGGATTATTTTTTCCTTTGTTCTCCTCGAGCTCTCGTCGTCTTTCTTCCCCTGGTCATGGGCTCCTGGTCCTGACTTGTTCTGCCATTGCTCCTCCCCCGTCTCATTCTCTTCCTTCTCTCCTTCTACTGGCTCCTCTTACTTCTCCATCCCCATCTGCCCGCCTCGAAGACGGCGGAAGCGGCGGTGGCAGCGGCGGTGGCGGCGGCGGCGGCCGCGGCGGCGGCGGCGGCGGCGGCGGCGGCGACGACGACGACGACGACACCAACCACGACGACGCGGATGCCGCCGACGCCGTCCACGTTGACGACGACTTTGGCGGCGACGGGGACGGCGACGACGTCGCCCACGACGAGGACGGCGACGACGTCGCCCACGACGAGGACGAAGCGGACGACGTTGACGCCGCCGCCGAGGACGATTGCGAAGACGACGACGGCGGCGACGACGGCAGCGACGACGAAGCCGGCGTCGTGCGAGCGGCGACGCCGAGGACGGCGCCGGCGACGACGGTGACGTTCACAACGACCACGGCGGCGGCGGAGGAAGAGGAGGCGGGGAAGGCGGAGGAAGAGAAGAAGGAGGCGGAGGAAGAGGAGGCGGAGGAGGGGGAGGAGGCGGAGGAGAAGGAGGCGGAGCAGAGAGAGAGGTAGGAGGAGGAGGAGGAGGAGGAGGAGGAGGAGGGAGGAGGAGGAGGAGGAGGAGGAGGAGGAGGAGGAGGAGGAGGAGGAGGAGGGAGGAGGAGGATGAGGAGGAGGAGGGAGGAGGAGGAGGAGGAGGAGGAGGAGGAGGAGGAGGAGAGGAGGAGGAGGAGGAGGAGGAGGAGGAGGAGGAGGAGCGAGGAGGAGGAGGAGGAGGAGGAGGAGGAGGAGGCGGACGCGGGAGGAGGCGGAGGCGGGAGGCGGAGGAGGAGGAGGAGGAGGAGAGGAGGAGGAGGAAGAGGAGGAGGAGGAGGAGGAGGAGAGAGAGGAAGGGGGAGGAGAAGGAGGATGATGGAAGGAGAGAGGAGGAGGAGTCGGAGGAGGAGAGGAAGGAGGAGGAGGAGGAGGAGGAGGAGGAGGAGGAGGAGGAGGAGGAGGAGGAGGAGGAGGCGGAACAGGAGGAGAGGAGGAGGAGGAGGAGGAGGAGGAGGAGGCGGAGGAGGCGGGGCCCGAGGAACGCCGGGAGCACCTCGAGCCGGATGGAGAAGGGCCGGCGCCTCGGCCGCCGCCGCGCTCGGTGCTCCCCGCCGCGGCGGCCGCCCGCGGTCCGCGGCGGCCCTCGGAGAGCTGCGGGGGCCCCCTCGGAGAGGCCGGCGGCCCTCGGCGGCCCTTCGGCGGCCCTGTGGGCCTCGGCGGTCCCTTGATGGGCGTGTTTTCCACCACCACCAGAAGTTGGAGGGGGGGGATCCTCCTCCTCCTCCTCCTCCCCCTCCTCCTCGCCCTCCTCCTCCTCCTTCCTCCCTTCAGCTTATGGTGGTGGTGGTGGTGGAAAACAGGATCATCATCCCTGGCGGGCCTCGGGTTAACTCGGGCCTGTCCCTCTCTACAGAGGAAAAAGTTCGATACTACAAACATAGTCGGGGGACGTTTCGTTTTTTTTGAGTCTTCTGGAGCATTTTTTAGGTGTTCCTGCATTTTTCGTCCAACATCCGCCTGCAGGGGGGAATGCCCGACCTCGGGGATGTGGGTCGCCATGCCTCCAGCGGGTGTCCTCGGCTGTCTCGGGGCCTCCGCGGCGGTGTGCGGGCCTCCCCGGACCTCGGGCGGCGTGGTTGTCCGGTCCAGGCGCGGCTCCCCAAACAGTGGCAGCACCCATGCAGGGGTGCTTGCTCCTCTCGCTCAGGAGCTGGTTGGGTCTGCCGCTGTTTCGCCGCGTCGCCGCCCGCGGCCGCCTCGTGGCCGCCTCCTTGCCGCGTGGTCGCCCGCTCCGCTCCCCGACGCTCGAAGACGGCACGCGAAGCACGGGGGGCCCACTCGCGCCCCAAGGCGGCGCCCAACGGGCCCATGGAGAGCGCTGCAGGTGGCTCGCCAAGTCAGCATAGACACGCCAAGCGGGCGGTGAAGAAGGCCCGCAAGCTTTGAAAGCGGCCCCCCCGAACGCCCACCAAAGGCTCACGGAAACCTCCACAAGGGCTCCCACACGGGGCGGGGTTTCAGATTCCCGGAGAGGCTTCCGGGAACCTGAAAGCGCGCCCGTCATCGGAACAGGAAGTTCTCCAACCCTCCGCGAAAGGATCATACATACATCTCTACACATGTACAGATACACATACATACGCCTACCTGGGGACAGAAACTTTAGCTCAGAAGCCACGGCCTGGACCCCCAATCTGGGCCCACCCCCCCCCGGCGCCTCGTGAGCCGCTCCCCGGCCGCTCAAGACAGCCCTTTGGGCGCTCCAAAATTGCCCACGAGTGCTTCCAGACTGCCCGGGAGGCCGCCAAGAGTATGCAAAGGGTCTCCAAAGGCGGCCCAAGACCGCTCAAGATATAACCTCCCAGCGTCTCCAGAGATCTCCAAGACGCCCCGAGGGAGTTTCGAGAGGCCTCCCAAGAGTGCCCCAAGGGGCCCAAATTTTTCCATTCCCTGCTTGAAACGTACATGTTCAACTCGTTCACCATTTTGGTCTTTATAGCGTCCAAGAAGGCCCAACTGCTCCCTTACCATCGCCCCAAGACGGCCGCACAGGCCCCCAAGGAGGCATCAAGGCTGCCGAAGAGAGGCTGAAGACCAGTGCGGGTCACTGCTGCAGTGGGGCTGTCTGCAACCGAATCGCACCACCCAGTGGTTGCTAGTGTGGATGAGGAGGAACCCTTCGGGTTCTTCGGAAGCCTTCGGCGAAGGCCGCAGGCGCAGGACGAGGAGGCGGGAGGGCGGGAGGGGGGACAGGTCGAGGAGGAGGAGGGGGAGGAGGAGGAGGAGGAGGATCAGGTGGAGGGAGGAGGAGAAGCAGGTTCTTCAGAAAAACCTTCGGGTATTTCCAAGTCTGTGCGCACGGCTCGCATCGGAAACGGGGAGCATACAGGGCACGGTGGCAGACGGAGGCGCACGGGCTCGGTGAGGGCCCCCCGACGCCCTGCACATACGCTGGCGTGCGGGGGGGCGGCCGGGGCCCTGGCCGGGACATCCTGCCGGATTTCCCCCACGACTGCACGAACGAAATGGGCACGGAAAGAATGGGTACAATGCCCAGCAGCAGCTTCTATTCACTTTGAACAGGACTCGCTGTCCACGCCGCCGCGGCCTGTGTCCATTCGAGACAGAAGGCCGCCTGCCCAACAGCGGCCGCTGTTGGTTTGGGACAACATTTGTTGCTGGGCATTGTACCCATTCTTTCGGTGCCCATTTCGGGCGTCCAAAGGCATGTTTTACCCTTGGCCTCCCTGAGGCCACCAACAAGCGACCAGGGCCGAAGTCGCCCGAATCTTGTTCCTAAGGGGTTCAAGAGGCCCCGAAGACGTCGAGGGCTCTAAGATGATCCCTGAGAGGGCCTCAGGAGGCCAAACTTGTTTCATCGTTTAGGGGGACGGGGCATTTTCTTGCATCTTCGCACTTTTAGCTTTAACAGCATCGAAAGCTGCCGAGGCCCCACATATCGCCCCAAGAGAGCCTTCAAGAGAACTGCCCAAGAGGCCTTCAGGAGAGCCCCAGGACGGCCCAAGAGAGCACCAAGACGGTCCAAGAGTCGCCCAAGACGGCCCAACAGGGAGGGCCTCAAGAGGAGTCCAAGAGTGCGACATCCAATTGACGTTTCGAGCCTTCAGCCACAAGTGGTCTCCCGAGGCCGCAGCAGGCACCCAAGAGGCCACCAGGGGCCACAACATATATCTCAAGAGGCCCCCACATGGCCCACATGAGGCCACAAGACGCGCCAACACTAGCTCCACGAGGCGTCCGAGGAGCATGCCGCATGCCAAGAGACCCCGACCTGGTGTTATCCAAGGACCCTCCGGCCCAACACTCAGGTACAGTGGCGGTATGGACCGAAGGCCGTAGATAAGCAAGTACTTGGTACGTTGACATTTTTCGCCGCGGGGCAATGCGGCAAGATAGCTGCTGCGGAGCACGCGTGCACGGGTGTGCTGAATTCTTGAATTTTCTGTAGGGCGCGATCCGCGTGAAGGGTGTGCCGAGTAATTCGGGCACCCTCGCGCGAATGTCCCCACTGAGGCCACAGGTGGACCTCCTCCAGGCACGACCCGTGCGAGGCATGTTCCGAAATGGCAGGGGGCAAGCCATGCGAAGCTGCCGATTGGTGCCATAAGTGTAGGTCCCACTGGGGTATGGTTCGTCGCGTGACGGGTCTACCTGAACGAACCTTGTCTCTGGGCGTGGTGCTCCTTGTGGGCACGATCCGCGTAATGGGGTGTGCCGCAATGGCCAGGGTAGGCGCAGTGCGATTCTTGCCTTCGGGGCCGTAGGTAGAAATCCCTCTGGGCCACGATCCGTGTGCGAGGTGTGCCGCACGATCCATATGAGAGGTGTGCCGAAGTGAGTTGGGCGACGCTATGCAGCTTCACCCTGGCGCCGCAAGTGCAGCCATTTGCGAGGCACGATCCGCGTGAGGGGCGTGCCACTATGCGAGCCTTGGCCCTGGGGACGTAAGCTGAGCTCCCTGTGGGGCGCGATCCCTGTGAGGGGTGTGCCGACAAGAACGGGGGAACGCTAGCCAGGCCTGTCTCTGGGGCCGCAGGAGGAGCTCCCTGAGGGCACGAACCGTGCGACAATCGATGCTCTCCAACACCGCACAGTCTAGACTGCCATTGGGGCTCGCAAGAACCTACGAGCCCGCGATTCGCGCGCGTGGTTCTAGCATCTCTATGTTTGTAGATTGTTGTATATGTGGATACCTATAACGGGGATCGTTGTATATGTGGATCGGTGTATATGTGGATGCATCGATCGTTGTATTTGTAGATCGTTGTATGTGTAGGTCGTTGTATATGTATATTTGTAGATCGTTGTATTCGTATGTGTAGATCGTTGTATATGTGGATGCCTCTAACGGGGGACCGGGCCCGGGGGCCGGGAGCCGGGACCCCGACCGCAGCTGTGGGGCCCGGCGCGCCGGGAGCCCTGCTGGGTCGCCGGATGCCTTTCAAGACGACTCCCGTGACGCTCCAAGAGCGCCGAGGAGCCCCAAGAGGCTCCCAGGAGAGCCCAAGAGGCTCCAAGAAGTGCCCAAGAAGCCCCGAGAGGCCCCGATGAGACTTGAAAAAACACCAAAAGAGGCCCCGAAGACGCCCCAAGAGGCACCCCTAATAGAGCCCCAAAGAAGCAAGAATCGTCGATCTCATAGAAAGGGAACTGCTATTTTTGGCGTGTTCGCCTTTTGGGCTTCCACTGCGTCCAAGGCGGCCCAAGAGGCACCCAATCCGGTCGAGGATGCCCCCAAGAGGGCCCCAAGACGGCCCACGAGGGGGCCAAGACGGCCCCCTGAGGCGCCCAAACCGCCCAAGAACGCCCCAAGGCGGCGCCCAAGACGGGGACGAGGAACCGAAGATTCGAGCGTTTTGGCTCAAGAGACCCCCAGGAGAGCCTAAGAGGGAAGCGCCCAAGAAGCCCCAAGAGGCCCCCATGAGACCTGAAAAACACCAATAGAGGCCCTAAAGGGAAGGGGCTTCCCTTCGAGTAAGCTGCGACGTTGCTCAGATTGGCTTCCGCCCCGTGTCCAGGGGGGAGCAGATTGGCTTCCCCCCCGGGTCGCGGCCGCTCCCCTCGCCCGTGGAGAGTCGACCACTCGCCCTCTTGGAGCCGACGTGGCGGTGGCGTGAGCAGCTCCCATCCCCCGAGGGGAGCCGACCACCCCCCTTGGAGCCGACGTGACGATCTCGTGGGCGACGACGACCCACGCAAGATGACGAGACCAGGATACGTCTTCCACACGCCGACAGGGTCGGCGGATTCAAAAATAGTCAAATCGTATGGGGACGATTTCGCTAGTATGTTTTATACTACTCGGGGGCATTTTGGAGTATCTGGTATGTTCGCCCCAAATCCGCCTGTATGGGGGGCATGCCCGACCTAACGTTGGGCCGACCAGGGGAGGGAGGGGTGGAGGGACGGAGGATGTCAGGAGGCACTTCTCTTCGAGAGCCGATGCCTTCCTTCACCGCCCAGGTGACCGCTCTGGACGAGGCTGCCGGGCCAGCGTGGGCCATACGTAGTGCCATGAGCAGCCGGCCGTCATCGCCGGGATGTTTCGGCCCAGCGAAGGAGAGGGGGGGCGGAGGGGTGGGAGGGACGGAGAGGGAAAGAGGGACGGAGGGGTTGCGCGAGACGGGTGGAAGAGTCGGAGTGGCGCGGGGGGGGGGGGGGGGGTCGGGCCGAACGACAGGGGGGGACCCAGGGAAAGGGGGGGTGCGGAATCTGCTGCACGCACGCAGCTGGTTTCGGCCCCGCCGCCGGGCCCATTCCTCGATACATGTGGGCGCCTCCCGGCGCCGGGAGGCGCTGGGAAAATCAGCTGCGTGAGCTGATTCTCACCCCCCCCTCTGCTATCCCCCCCTTTCCTGGCCACGCGCAGAAGGGGGGGGGTAGGGGGAGGGGGGAGGGCTTCTTAGAAGCACCCCTGCTCCTCAGAAGGCGCGGGCCTGATGTATAGATGTAAGGCCGGCGCCTTCTAAGAAGCAGCCTCCTTCTAAGAAGCCCTCCCCTCTCCCCCCACCCTTTTTCGGGGGAGCGTAAGACCCGGGTTTGCCGGGACTCGGGTTCGCCATCGTTTTTTGACGACCGCGCCTCGGATTTTGACGAGGAGGAGTTTCGTGGGATGTCTGCAGCGGGAGGCCTCGTCAAAATGCAGGCTCGGCCTCGTCATTTTTTTGACGACCTCGTCGGGGATTTCCGAGTCCCCCGTACCCGGGTCTTACGTCTCCCCGACTTTTGTGCGCGCCGCCAACTCTCGCCCGGCCCGAGAGGGGGGAGGGCGAGGGGCCGCCAGCGGGTCGGGGGCTCCGCGCGACGAGGCCTCGAGTTCGACGGCTTCGTGGAGCGGGCGCGCGCTCCCCGCGCCCCGCGCGGCGCCGCGCGCCGCCGCGCCGCGCGGCACGAGCGAAGTGGGCATCGGGGGCCCCCCAAGCCGATGATGATGATGATGATGAGGATGAGGATGAGGATGAGGATGAGGATGAGGATGATGATGATGATGATGATGATGATGATGATGATGATGATGATGATGATGATGATGATGTTGATGCTGATGCTGACGCTGATGCTGATGCTGCTGATGATGATGATGACGATGATGATCAGGTGATGATGATGATGCTGCTGAGGGGAAGAAATACACAGACACAAGTAATCGTCGATTCCCAGGAAAATATTGGAAAATATGTGTCCCAGTTCCCCTTCAGCTGTGCGGTGAGTCGGTGGGGGTCAAGAGTCACCGCACGGTTTTGGGGCTCGTCTCCTTCTCCGAGGATGTCTCGGGCGAGAGAGGCCTCCGAGGTCCCAAAGCCGGGCGCTGACGGACCGTGCGGTGAGGTTTTGAGGGGCTTCGAGGTCACCGCACGGTCGGTCACCGCACCGTTTCGGGACTCCAAATGGTACGGAAAGAATGGGTACCATGCCCATCAGAAGTTCTTGCTCACCGCAGCCTGTGTCCATTTGAGACAGAAGGCCGCCTGCCCAGCAGCGGCTGCTGTTGGTTTGGGACAACATTTGTGGTTGGGCATTGTGCCTTTTCTTTCTTTACCCATCTCGGGCGTCTAGAGGGGTGGCGGGGCGCGGAGGGCGAGCAGCGGGGGCTCTCGCTGCGCGGGGCGCCGGGGGAGCTCTCCGAGCTGAGGCTCCTCTCGGGCGAGCCCGCCTCGGACCGCGTGGCTTCTCCGTGGGCGAGCTCGGTGGCAAACCACGGGAGCCTGGTGCACCCTTCTGAATTCCATGTGTGGCGTGGACTCGCGTCGATCAGCGTCGGGGAGTCGATGAGATAGCGCCGATTCATCGTCGGTTAGCGTCGACATAGCGTCGACTTAGCGTCGATTAGCGTCGATTTGGGTCGATTGGCGTCGATTCGCAAGAGCCGACACGATGGTATATGCTCCCATGAACTGCCACCGAAATCGAAAGGGCCCCAAGACGGGCCCATAACGGACCAATGGGTCTGCAATATCGCCCCAGGGAGGCCCCTCAGACGTGGATCCCGGGTTCGAAGGTGGAGCCATGTTGGCGCCAGGACCCGCTTGTCCGTGCTCTTTGATCCTCTTCCAGGAGACTTCACCAATATTGGTGAATCCTGGTCTGCTGATAGCTGGAACCGCCCTTGCCTTTTTGTTTGTTCACAGCCATCCTATGGCGTTGGGTCCTCGTTTTGAGCACATGTGAACAGGTGGGACCTTGTCAGGGAGAAAGGAGAGTACCACTGACCTCGAGCGACGGTGGGGGAGCAGGCGAAGGAGGAGGGTAATGATGGGTGGAGGAGCCCGACCACCGAGGCAACGAGGACAGCGACGACGACAACGACGGACAGCGACGATGATTGCGACGGCCACGGCGACGGACCACCGACAACGATGGGTCACGACGGGTCACGACGACGACACCGACGACGACGGAGGAAGAGGAGGAGGAGGCCGTATCCTTTTGGCTCAAGTGCGTAGCGATTCGGCTTAGGACCTGACCTTTCTGGCAAGGGGCAGGGACGGCCCCGGCAGTGTCTCTCGTTTGCCAGGTCAGACGAGGCTTCGGCTTTGGTGAGCTCCTGCTGGAGGGTTTCCCCAAGACGACCTCACCAAGTGTGAACTTGACCTGCCCATGGCGCCTCCATCTGGTGGTCACGAGCCTCGCTGGGCTTGACGTTGTGGGTCCTGCGGATGTGCAAAGAACCGGTGGTCCTGGACGTGAGGCAAGCACTGTGGTACGAGTTGGAAGGATGTGGAGCCAAGCCAGTCCTTTACGCCAGCGTGGCCCGACAGCTGTTCCCGAGGCTCCAACCCATGTTTCACAGATCAGGCCCAGATGTCACCCTTCAGAGACAAATATGCCACCCTTTCAGATACAGAACTTCTTCAGTTGGTCGCACTCTGTGAGAAGGTGGGCGACAAGCAGGCAGCAAACGTTTACCGTGCCGAATGTACTGGACGCCCAGCTGTTCCTGAACAGCCGGCACAGCAGAGAGCGAACGAGGCAAACCGTGTGCTTGAGCAGTTGGAAGGGAAATTTCAGAACTTGGTTGATCAACGTGACCAGACGAAACTGCGCCTTGACCCATGGCTGGACCTAATCGGTGTTTTGGCCATTTCGTGGGCCGTTCGCGGTTCGATTTCGTTTTGCGGTAAAAAGGCGGAGTGTGGACAAAACGAGGGAAAACGATAACACAGCGAAAACGAAACACACCGTTTAGCTTCAGCCCTGCCTTGGCCAGCAGGCTCAGCAGATCTCGGAAGTCAGCCGTCAATGTCCAGCTGCAAGAGGAAGCCAGCCGCAAGGCAGTCCAGGAGGTGCGCGCACAGCTGTCCACGGCTCGCGGGCTCCACGCGTGGACGCCAGCAAAGTCAGCTTGGCCGCCATGGCAATTTGGGCTGATCCTGGGTCCCACCGACACAGTCAGCCCGCAAAGTAAGGATTGGTAACCTTGCCAAGGGAACCCTTGCATCCTTGCATTCTCGGCCCATCCTTTGCCGCTTTCGCTGGTCGCGCCCCGCTCGAAAACTTCGAAACTGGGCGTCCAAAGCCCTTGCATCCTTATCGCGCATCCCTACTGCACGGTGGTGATTGTATTTTTTTGACCCAACGAGTTTGTGGACCTCGCGCCCGAAGACAAGGAAGAGGCCGCCATTCGGGCCAAACAGTCGGAGGGAGAGCTGCGCACGGCAGCGGTCAGCTTGTTTTGGGGATATGAAGGCTCAGGCTGAGGGCCTTCGCGAACAACGTGATGAACAGAAAGTCATCTTGCAAAATACGAGACGGGGTGGTGATGGAGAGTCTGTGGGCGTAGATTCAGGGGGATCGTCGACCGCAGCTGCATCCGCCGATCAGCCCATAGATGACAAAACATATATGCTACGAGACAAAGTCAACGCCATTGCAAAGAAAGTGGCGGTAACTAGTACACCGACAGCGACGAGCCCGTTCGAGAGCACCACGCGGGGGTAGCCCGAGAACGCCAATGACCTTGTCGGTCGATTGCACCGTCTTACCCTGGCCCTGAGATGGTGGAGACGGCGTGGGGGACGGCGCCAGCCGCTGGCATGCTCGAGCCTTCCCTTGGGCTCGCGAGGACCAGTGGAGTGGGGCCCCGCCGTTTTCAATCGCTGGAGGGAGGGGTGATTTCTTTGCTGCCTCACATGGCCTGGGGCTGCCCAGGGGCGAGGTCTTCTGCTGCGACATCCACTTCGTGCCTGAGTACCTGCTCACATTCGAAGAGGCTGACGCCGTTCATCCTGAAGCCGCCGCCTCCCCCGAGGGGCGCGCCGGAGTTCCCTGCGAGCCCGAGTCCGCAGAAGAGGCAAGGGTTGTCGGTGGCAACGATCCATCGCTCGAGTCGGACCGCGGTTGAGGCGACCCTGGATTCCTCCAGTCATTTTGATATGATTGTGGTTCAAGAACACAGATTGAAGACTGCTAGATGTCATAATGCTGTTTCGTCAATTCGCCTGGCAGGATGGCGAACGCACGGAGGCCCATGCGCCGCAACTGACAATGATCGTGCCTCTGCTGGTGCGCTGACTCGGGAGAAACACTGCCTGGGTTCATGGGCAGCGGATGGAGGCAACCTTTACCGTGGAAGATTGGAGGGGTGTTTCCTGAAGTTGAGCGACGTTGGTCATCTCGTGATCATGACGTGCCACTTGTATGTGGGAGGAGGTCTCGCGCCGCGAAATGTCAATATCACGGAGCGAGCTGGTCAAGAGATTCTTGAGATGCAAGTCGTGTGCCCGGGGGGTATGTCAAACGTCCGCCCGAGAAGCAGGGCGCCGACGTCCCGCTGCCCAAGTTGTGCGGGGTATCTAGAACTGGCCCCATCTATCTGTCATATATTCTGGATGGACATAAGTCTACGTTGTACTATTTCATGAGGGCAAGATGTTGGATGATTTAACGAGTGTTGAAGTAAGGGCATCTGCGCCCGTTGTTCTTCATCGTCCCGCGCGTCTCACATTCGCAGGGGTGGCGGACCAGATTGTTGACGTTCTCAAGAAATATCCGGATCTCCCGCCAGTTCGCGTCGCGGGACCTGCGCGTGGACCCCCGCGGTTTGGCTCGATAGAGACGAGGTTTGACAATTTCTTGCGCCCGATTGGAGGCGCCGTCGCCAAGTTCACGCTGCGAGGTCAGAGTCGACAGGAGGCCTTCCAGTCTCTGAACGATGCGCACACCCAGTGGGATGATTTTGCGCGGGAGGAACTGCAGGGGGTGACGGGCCAGTTTTGCCCAGTGCTGCCTGGCGGAGCTGAGTTTCAGTGAGGGGCAGCCCGGCTTCGTGAGGTCTCGCGCATGAGCACGTATAAGCGAGCATATCCTCAGAGGGCCTCGACATGGGTGATTCAGGTGACCTATGTGAGAGCCCTTTTTTACGAGGACTAAAGTTGGGGGCACCTGTTGGTTCGTCTGATTTGGCGTTTTGTCCGAGGAGGCCCGTTGCGCCATTTTTGGCCAGCGTATGGCGCCCCATTTATTCTCGTGGGAACCCGTGTCTCAAATCCCAGCGAACACGCGGGGCGGGTCCATAGCGAGGTTATAACTTTTGCCAAGTTTATGCGCGACCATCTCCTGCGTTCAGCACCCCGGATCCGTCGTCGTGAATGGGGGGGGTGGCGTGCTGACGCTGTGGGGGCGGGTGCTTGTGGAGCCCGCAGTTTTCTTATAGGCAGGTCTGCCCCCGTGGACGTCGTCGGGGGGGCCATCTGGAGGCCGCGCCTGAGCGCGCCTAGCTCGCCAACAGGAAGCAGCAAGACAAGCTGGAGTAGATTGAAGCGTGGCATGTCGAGGGCGCCCCGGTGCAGCCTGAGCAGTGGCCACTTCATGCGTCCGCGCGCGCTGCTGCCGCGCCAG